TATATATATATATATATATATATATATATATATATATATATATATAATGGAATATCACATAGCCATAAAAAATGAAGTTCTGATATATGTTACAACATGGATGAACCTTAAAAACATTATGCTAAGTAAAATAAACCAGACATAAAGGAGAAATATTGTAGGATTGCACATATATGGAATATCTAGAAGAGGCAAATTCATAGAGACATGTAGTAGATTGGAGGCTATGAGAGGGGCTGGGAGTAGGAAGGAACGAGGAATTATTGCTTAATGTGTACAGGGTTTCTCATTGGGGTGATGGACATTCTGGAAGTAGTGATGGTGGTTGCAAACATTGTCAGTGTAGTTAATGCCACTGAAATTTACAATAAAAAATGGTGAAAATGGCAAATACAACTATATACAGTTGACCCTTGGACAACATGGGTAGAAGGGGCTCCAACCTCTCACACAGTCAAAAATCCCTGTATAACTTTTGATTCCCTAAAAACTTAACTAATAATAGCTTACTGTTGACCAGAAGCCTCATCGTTAACATAAACAGCTGATTAATACATATTTGTATGTTATTAGTATTATATAATGTATTCTTTAAAAAAAATTTTATTTTTCAATTACAGTTTATATTTAATATTATTTTGTATTAGTTTCAGGTGTACAGCATAGTGGTTAGACAATCATATACTTTAAAAGAGGTCCCCCTGTTATTTCTAGTACCCACCTGGCACTGTACATAGTTATTACAATATTATTGCCTATATTCCCTATGCTGTACTTTACAATCCTCTGACTATTTTGTGACTACCAATTTGCACTTTTTAATCCCATCACCTTTTTCATATAATAGAGTGAGCTAAAGAAAAGAAAATGTTATTGAGAAAATCATAAGAGAAAATACATTTACAGTGCTGAATGTATTTATTGAAAAAATCGGCATATACATTTTGGACCTGTGCAGTCCAAACCCCGGTTGTTCAAGAGTCAGTATTTTACCGCAATAAAAAAAGGAGAAACTTACATTTGTAACATCACCTATTGCTTACTTTCTTATAGCCTTTTTAATATTTATAACCTAAGGACAACACAGCCTAGATGTCTCTCTGATATAGAATTATATTACACAGAAGCAGAGGGCATATCTCTGGTTGTGTGATTAACTAAGAGTTCATGGGACCCTGCATTTTAATGTAGGTTTTCGAATTTCGGTTTTGTGTTCTTTCTGGAGAAGAATCCTCACTGAATGTTGACTCAAACAGAGCAAGAATGGACTTCTTGAAAACCTTTTTGAAGTTCTCCCCAATAAATAGGTAGAGTGTGGGAGAAAAGACAGTATTGAAAGAGTAGTAATCACTGTAAGCATCATAGTCAACTGTAAAAGTAGAGATTGGTTCTTAGTGAGAAGCAAGCCCTGGGATACATGGTAGGGCATCCAACACACAAAGAAAGAGGTAACGGCAGTCGTCATGACTTTGAAGGGCTTGTTGGATTTAAATAGGTTCCTCTTTTTCATCTTGTTGGCTACTCTTCCATAGCAAAAGGTGATAATGAAGAAAGGCAGAAGGAAGCCTAGCAAGAAGCTGCTGGTGAAACAGGCTGCGTGAACCCATTTCTTTAATGTGTGCAGCTTTCTGCTTTCCCAGTTAGTGGACACAGCATAGTTATTTTGGCAGGTCACCCTTCCTTCATGGTCATCATGTGCCTCTCTGAAAACCAAACAGGGAATGCTGAGGGCAGTGGCAGACATCCGGACTCCCAGGATGATGCTGGAAGCCCAGCGTGGGGTTTGGTGCGGCTGTGACCACACCGGGTGAGTAGTGAGAAGGTTACAATCAACACTGATGGCTGAGAGGAAGAAAACGGAGGCGAACACTCCTGTGGACAAAACGCTGTTGAAGGCCTTGCACATGGCATCTCCAAAGCTTCAGTGGTTGTCCTGAAGGGAAGAGGTGGTTATAAACGGCACAGTCAATGTTGAAACAAAATATGAAAGAATGAGATGAAAATATAAAAGAGTACTGACAGTTTTTTCCATCTTGAATTTTAGTATACATAGACAGAGACCATTGGTAATAATACCGATTATTGATGTCATGAACAAAAGAAGGACAATGATTATTTTTGAGGCAGGGGCTGGAAAGTGAGTGCTGTTTCTTACTAATGTAGAGACATTGACCTGGTAATTAGAAGAGCTGATCAGATCCATACTTACTGGTGGAATGAGAAACAGAAAATAAGACCAAATAAGAAGCAGAAGAAAAGATTAAATATAGAAATTAAAATATCAACAGACAAATTGAGAATATTTTTAAAACAGCAAACATAATATTTCCACAATAATACAAACGGGATCTTTTTCCTGAGGCCTTTACTTTGTTTTGTATGAAAAATTAAGATCAGATTAATTTGAGCATCAAAAACGAAAATACTACAAATGAAATTAATGTGAAATGGATGTTTGACTTTGTTAAGTGATTAATTTGGGTAGCTAAAAATCTTCTATTTAGACATTAACCAGACGTCTGGCCCTTCTTGATGAGTACCACTTCTTGCATAAGGCTATGTAGAGTCAGTTTTGCTTGACTAAGACTTGGTCAAGGCGAATGCTGCTAATTAAATTGAATAACAAAAATAACAATGGCTGCAAGTTAATAATCATGGGGAGCTATAATTCGATTTCTCCCATGAGCTGGTTATATATAATAAATGCTATTTTCTAGTATTCTAACACTGAGCACATAACAGTAAGAACCGATGTTCACATGGGAGCCCGAAGGCACTGTAAGACTGTGAGTTCTTCAGAAACATCAGAGAAAGAGGAAGTGTACTACAGAATAATATAGTAGTGGTTCTTCCTTACTTGGAGAGGGGAAAGGGGGAGAGAAATCAAAGAACTGATATTTACTCAATACTTGTTATATGCTAGGAGAATTTTATGAAAATCATTTCTTTTTTTTTTCCTCACAAAGGAAAATACTTAAACAGAGAAGAAAGTGAGGCTTAAAAGGGTTAAATTTCTTATTAATGTTGGGAACCCTACCAGTGTTTTATGTTACTTCTTTGAAAATTGGTTTTTCATGTCTAGTGTATTGATGATGCTCCATGAATCAGAATATTAGATTATTTAAAATATCCCATTTCTTGGATAATGGTTCCTGTAGTATTGAAAATATAAACATGACAATGTTTTGGAAAATACCTATTATAACAGAGTCATCTCAACAAATTGGTTTTTGAGCCCTGCCAGGCATGGCTCAGCAGTTGAGCGTCAGTCTAGGATCCAGGAGACTGAGGTTCGCTTCCTGGTCAGGGCACATGTCCGAGTTGTGGGCTCCATCCGCAGTCGAGGGCGTGCAGGAGGCAGCTGATCAATGATGACTCTCTCTCTCTCTCCCTCTCCCTTCCTCTCTCTGAAATCAATAAAGATATATTTGAAAATTTTTTGTTTTTGGTAAACTGGATAAATCAATGGAAATTAATAGTGATGCTTTTTTCACTAAGCAAAAACATTCTAATACTATGTAGAGAGGAGAAATAAAGTAATCCTTATTAAAATCACAACTTCTTTAAGTTAACTCTGCCTCCAAAGTAGAAAAATGATTTTCTTCAGGAAAATACTTTAGTAGTAGTCTGCTTTGGGAATAAAAAGTGAAGTCTAAGGCAATGGTGAGCGAAAGAGTGGGAACCTGAGAAAGAGGCTGTGCAAAGGTCCTTGGACCATGAGAAGAGGGGAGAAGTGAGGGTGGTCTTCAGAGAGGGGAGCACAGGAAAAACACAGATGGAGGTCAGGAGGCTTGAAGAGTAATGGGTAATGAGATATTAAGAAGTGCAGAAATTACACAGGGGATTTAAAATAAGGGGTGTCTAATACTCAGTTTTAATCCATTTGCTATGCTTTGACACGGTGTAATGTCCCTTCTCATTAATGGCAACTGCCTTACATTGGTGGTTGCTCTGGGGAACAGAAGGAAAAGAGCTTGTGTTCCCTATTTGGGAAGGAGTGGGGTGGAAAGGAGAGACCAGCAGCAGCAGGTACTATGTGAATGAGATGATGAATATGGTGGAAACTGGACAGAAATCAGGGTATGGGAGACACGGAAACAAAATCCCATGGAAAATTTCCGATACTGTGTGTGCATGGCGTGTGTGTGTCTGGGGTCGTCTGTATACCTGCAGTGGTTTTTTGTGAACGTATGCGGCTATATGGTCTGGGTGTGTCTCTGTGATGTGTTTGGATCCATGGGGTATGTGTGGAGCTGTGTGTGAGTATGTGTGTGTGTGTGTGTGTGGTCCCTTTGTGTGCGTGCATATTGATAAAACTGGGTATCTGAATAGAGGGAAGATTTAAAAAATGTGTTGCTGGGCTCTGGAAGGGCATCTGAAAGTAATGTAAAATTTAAGCAAAATCAACATTGGTAGTGGTTCTGAATATCATATAAAGTTTCCTAGGAACTTTGATTTATTGCACATAACCAGGAGATTTCATCATCCTTAAACATCTTTTAAAAGTACTTGAGTATAAATACTCAAGTGGGGCAGAACTTGGGCTCTGACACCCCGCAGAACTGGGTTTTGATCCTACTTCTACCACTTACCAGCTCTGTGACCTTGGACTCTTAACTCTGAGCCTCTTTCTGTGGTTCACCTTGTAAACCACAATGAGTTTTTATGAAGACTACATGAGATAATACTTATAAATCACCAAGCTCCTCATGGCACATATTCAGCACTCAATAACTTTTTACCTATTATTTTACTCGACTTGTTATATTAAAGCTAGCAAGAGCCTCATTTTGCTCTTTTAATGCTGCAGGCCACATTTCTTTCCTCCCCAAGCTTCTCTACTGAATTCTAGAGTGCCATGAGATTTATAGTTATTTTGAGGCCTTGCTATTGTGACATCTTTGGTACAAGTGGCTTTCAGGAAGAACCAACGCCCTCTGCTTGTGGGGGGAAAGCATGAGCACCTTGGAAAGCTCTTCTAGAGTAAGCCTAGATGGTCATTCAGATACTAGCACTAGGATCAACCTGCTGGCCCAGGAGTTATGTACCTTGGAGTTATGTTTTCGTGTCAGATGGCCTTGGGAGGCCAGAGTGACTCTAAATCAGCAATCTTCTCTACAGGGACAGAGGAAAGAAATCAGTGACACTTTGCCTTCATTTCATCTGCTTCTGTTCTTGCCCATGCTGCTCCCCAACCTTGAACCTCCTACTGAAATATTCAGCGAGACCTTGCTGTTCTTCCCAGGTTCCTTATTCTGTGGAATACCTTCCATAGAGGTCGAGGTAGAGACGAGTACTTCTTCAAGTCATTGCTCTTTTTTAAGGAGAGATTTTAAAAATCCCACAACACTCTTCTATTTAAGGCTAGTAAGCTTGTCTCAGGTGTTAAGACATTGATTAAAAATTACCTTTTCATGAGCAGTCATCCCACCGGGCAGCCACTCTGCTTCAATTCTAGGATGTTTGTTGGCATATGGATGCATGATATTGGGTACAAAGGGACTTGGTAAGTATCAGGCATGAAAAAAATAGAATCTGGAAATGAGCTACCTTATCTCACTGGAGAGAAAATGGTCAGAAAGAAAAACTTAAACGCTGACTTTCACATTAAAATGGGTTGTATGAGGACAGGCCAAAGATTATTATTATTTAGTTTGGAAAGACAAAGACTGACAGGCAGATCAATTTGTATTAGTAGAATTGTCGAGAATGGTTGGAAAAAACAGAGTGTTACCATATCCTAGAAGATGATCTCATTAGAAAAAATTCTGTCACACAGGTAATACGTTTATGAACTGACCGAGTCCTACATTTTCTATTTTCCTTTCTCTAATCCATCTCTGACATTTTTAAGGATCAGCGGGTGTGCTGACCTCAGCGTCCTGATTTCGCTCCTGCCTGCTTTCTCCTCTTGTCTCTTCACTGCCAGAGGAGCAAATACATCAAAACAGCTGCGTGGCTTCCATGGCGAAGCTCGGGAATCAGCTACCCAGTCTGGGTCAGACTAGCACTTGTAAAGCTTTCACTGCTACCGTAGCCTCATTAAAAATAGACTTAAATTTGTTCTTAATTCCCTGGGGCTGTCACCTTCAACCTAAGAATTGATCTTTGCTTCAGGATAAGTTTTCAAACTTCCCGCATTTTCTTTTCTTTTTCTTAATATATCTTTATTGATTTCAGAGAGAGAAAAGGAGAGGGAGAGAGAGAGAGAAACATCAGTGATGAGAGAGTCATTGATCGAGTCCGCAACCCGGGCATGTGCCCTGACCAGGAATCGAACCCCGATCACCTGGATCCTAGGTCGACGCTCAACCGCTGAGCCATGCCAGGCCAGGCCAGGCCCTACTGCATTTTCAAAGTGACTTCCTGCCAGGTTTTCATACCTTTTGAGTTAATTCACAGATCTGGAAGTAACCTGAGATGTTATTTAGTCTAAACCCACAAATTCTGACACTCAACAAATTGAGACCCAGAGATTCATAAAAGGTTTTCACCAAGAAAAGAACCAAGGGCTCCTTCCACTGCCCTATGCTATTTCTATAGTAATAACAATAATAAAGGGATTTGGACCAGTTCTTCCTCCTCTACCCTCCACTCTATATTTCCAAATTTTACACTTAGTAAAATTAAAAAATAAGTATGTCAGGGACTAGTGTTTTAATCCCCTCCACCCCCCCGGCAAACATGCACAAGGGCTACTACCACCATTAAATAGCCTAAAATTTAATTCTTTTACAAGCTCTTATAAAGAAAGTATTCCTCAGAAATACTTTCATTAGTGAATATTTTCCCCTAATAGGTAATTAAACCAATGATATTAAGTCTTGGGAAATATGCAGGCTGTGTTTGAGGAAATAACTTCTGTGGCTTTGGTGATGTGACTCCATTTCACTTTTCATATTTCAAGTCAAGTCAGATGGTTTCAAGAAAACAACTCATGGAAATGGAAACTGTTTTATGTTGTTTTGATGTAAATACAGTCTGAAATACACAGAAATGCAGAAGCAGGTGGTGTTTAGAACCAAATGCTTGAAAATCTAGGAACTCATAAATGCACATGATTTTTAGAGCTGGAGGAGACTAAGGAGTTCATTGCATCTAACTCTCATTTCATCTAACTCTCAATTCTATAGGTGAAGAGACTAAGACCCATAGAGATATTTGAGAAGTTGTCCCTAGATTCCATTGTGAGTTAATAAAATA